AGTCCAAGTTATCTAGAGCCAAACCCGACCCATTGACAACCCTAAATATTGGACGCATGTTGAATTAAATAAATAAAAATTATAGGTAATAATATATTTAATTTAATAAAATAAAACAATAAATAAATAATTAAAATTTTCACTTTTAAAGTCAATTTAATATGGATAAATCAATTTTGTTGTTAAATAAAGAATACAATTTTTTTCTCAATTTCTTGTTCAAGCTTCAAATTTTATATGGGGGTCAGGCTTGGGCTCAAGATCTAGGCCCGATGGTCCGATCATGCTCAAACTTGGAGTTGAATATTTTTGATTGATATAAAGGCAAATGTCACATCCCAACGTGGCCTGTGAATAGGTTTAATCCCAACCCTAGGGGTGGAGGCAAGGGGACCCAAGAAAGCCATAACCCCACATTCCACTTACATTTTGGCCCCCCTCATAAATATTGGGCTCAAACCTACTTATTGATAGCCCTAAATATAGGACTATCAACAGATTGGGTCTGGGTTGGAACCGAAACCAACCCAACATGAAATGTTGAGGACCCGAATCTGGACCTAGACCCGATAGGGTCTATAATTTTTGGACTAGAACCGAAACTGATCGGTTCTTGAGACAATCGGGTTTGACCCGACAAACCCGATTATAATAAATAAAAACTAAATATTTATGTATAATATATATATATATATATATATATATATATCTATGTGTGTGTGTATATATGATTTACCCAACCCATTGACAACCCTACCTAAATATTGGTCTCAAGGGGAGAGAATAATTTGTTAGTAAATTTTTTCTAAATAAATAAATAGTTTAGTAAAATAAATAAATAAATATCTACTAAAATCTTTATCTCAATGTCAAATGTCCTTTATTTCACTAATTTATAAATAATTTATTTACTTTTATTAACTAAATAAATGCTTAGATATTAATAAATTAATTAAATGTCCCTTTATTTATCCCTTTATTTTATTGATTTATAAATAATTTATTTAATTTTTTTTAAATAAATAAATGCTTAGATAAAAATAAAAAAACAAATAAAAGTTGAGATAAAGAATAGGAGGAGAGAGAGAATTAAGCAAGAGAGAGAGAAGAGGGATGGCATTTTATTTTGTAGGATGGCATAATCATAAATAATTATATATGGCATTAATGTAATTTTCGAATATCATAGAGGTATTGTTGTAAAGAGAGTAAATATTTCTTATATGTTGCATTCTTGTAATTTTTGAATGCCTTAGAGTCAATTAAATTAGAAGGTTTTGTCTTATATGTGGAAGTCTTGTAATTTTCGAATACCATAGAAACAATTCCAAGTTCCAAGGTTTGCCTTATATGTGGTAGTCATGTAACTTTTTGAATAACATAAGGGCAATTAAAAGTCAATTATATAAGGAGGCTTATCTTTATATGCCATTCTTGTAATTTAGAAAGAAAAAAAAGGCAAAAGTTACTGTTTTCTTATATCGTCAGGCTTTCCTTTGTACACATTTCAACTTAATATATTAACTAGTAGAGGGGGCCCTGCATTGCAGGGGGTTGCTCATAAACTATTAGGCTCGAGCTTGATTCGAATTAGATACTTGAGTTCGAGCTCGATCTTGGCTCGAGTCAAAAGATCGGAAGTTCAAGCTCGAATACCTTTGATTGCATGTCTCTTAAGCAGTCAAGGTCTCCCTCAATTGTCGAGGTGCCAAACTGAGGTCTCCTTCAACTACTGAAGTGTCGAGCTAAGGTTTCCCTAACAGGTGAGGTGTTGAGCTAAGGTCTCCCTTAGTTGATAAGGTGCCGAGCTGAGGTCTCCCTTAGTTGTCGAGGACCTAAGCCGAGATATATCTTGTAATTTGTAAGGAAAAAAGCAAAAGAGAGAGAGAGAGTGGCATTCTTGTAATTTGTAAGAAAGAGAGAGAGAGTGAGTGAGTGACATTCTTGCAATTTGAAAGAAAAAAAAGCAAGAGAGAGAGAGAATTGGTAGGAGAGAGTGACATTCTTGTAATTTGAAAAAAAATAAAATAAAAGAGAGAGAATTGGTAGAGATTGGCATTCTTGTAATTTGAAAGGAAAAAGTTTAATGTATTTATATTGATTCAGATATAGATGAGCATCATTCCCTACTAAACTTTTTGGTTTCCTGCCCTAAAGTAAAAGAGATTCCTTACTCTGCCCCTTGAATTAAAGTGTATCCGCCTAACAAAAGAATCTCTATGTTCTGCTCATTGTTGTTTGAAATGGATTTATCCACCCTTTAATATTACATGTAGTTCCTACTTAATACTGATTAGGAATCCATGGATTCAATATTATTACATATGGTACCCTACTTAATTACTTATTATGAATCCACGGATTCAAGTATTTGCTTCTCCATTATACTTTTTTGAAGACATTGTTTAGTTCTTCAAAATCTTTTAATCAAATGAAGGCCATGTCTTTGTTACTGAAAAGTCAATGGAAAGGAGGTATTTGTATCTTTTTTTAAATTATAGGAGAATTTTTTATTAGGGTTAAAACACAAAGGTGGTTTATAGATATAAGACGAGATTTTTAATAATTTTATCTAAAAATAATATGAAATAATAACAAATCAATAAAAAATCAATATTAAGATAAAAAAAATAATATAAGTTTATCTAGAACATAAAAAATTGACCATTCTCACTAAATCACCACTTAAATTGTGATAAGATAAACTATACGTAACCCAAAAATAACACTTGAACTGAACTTGAATAATAAAGCCTGGTCCTGACTAATATATTTGGGGCCCTAAAAGTAAAAGAGATTCCTTCCTCTCCGCCCTTTGAATTAAGTGTACCCACCTAACAAAGGAATCTCTATTAATTTTCTGTTAATTATTGTATGAAATGGATTTATCCACCCTTTAATATAATTAATTACTGATTAGGAATCCATGGATTCGCGTATTTCATTCTCCACTTCCTTTTGAGGACACTGTTTAGCCCAGAACAACAACCCTTAATTTTTTAATCAAATGAAGCCCATTGTTCTTAGCATTTTAAATTTCTATTATATAGAGGAACACTGAAATAATGGAGCTTTCAATTACTAAGATATGATAAAACTAACATTAGTGACATATGGTTGGCGTGAACCATACTAGGCGCAAGACACCCTTTCATTCCTATGTCTTGGAGAACAAGCGTCAAAGACTCATTTAGAAAGTCTGGTCTATTGTTTTTTTTATTGGTAAAAAGTCTGGACTATTGTTGAATCAACACGATACCATTGAATAAATATTAGGGTAAATTTTAAAGACCAGTTGTATTATGATGTTAGTGAGAATTACCCTCTCCTAAGGTTAAGTTTGTTTCAGGTGTAAATTCAGTTTTATACCGATGAAAAAGTTGGCGCCGGTTCAGTGATCGGTGGAAAATAGTATCAGGTGGATTTAAATTTTCACGCTGATGGTGTTTAGCCGTGTGTAAAGTGAAAGGCTTCTATTCTGTTTCTGTTATAGAACTCTCCCTATCCCGGCAACAACTCTTTCTCTCTCTCTCTTGATATTCTCTGCCTTAGTCTACTTCATCGGCATCCTCTTTCTCTGTGAGGTCCCACTGTTCTCCAGCTCCGGCTTTGGTGAAGAAGCGTCAAAGACTCGGTTAGAAAGTCTGGTCTATTGTTTCTTTTTCTTGGTAAAAAGTCTGGTTTATTGTTGAATCAACACGTTACCATTGAATAAATATTAAGGTAAATTAAAAAGACCCGTTGTTCTGTAATGTGTCAGTAATAACAAAGGCCCCTTCAAATTTCACTTTGCAACAAATAATCTCTTATAGGATTCCATGATTAGTTAACTTCAAGAAAGATTCTTTTTGGGTTGTTTAAATTTTTCTAAATCCCCAGTACCTTTTCAAGAGCGGTTGCGTGTTATCTAGGGTTGGATTCGAGCCGAGCTGAGCCAAATAGCTAGTTATTCAAATTCAGTTCACCAAGACAATATGAGGCTCAAGCTCGGTTCGAACTAGAACCTTGAGATCGAGCTCAACTCGGCTCAAACTCGATTTGAGAAAAAAATTTATAAAAATAAAAATATTTTTTATTTGACATTTAAAAAATTAAAAATTATAATAATTAATTATTATTATATATAAAAATAAAAATATTACATATTATAATATTTATATTATATATATTATTTTCTATAATTTTATTATTATTATTAGTAGTATTATTATTATATGTATGTATGTATATGTACATCGAGCTCGGCTCGTGGCCACCCCTAGTATTATCCGGTTGCTTTAATTTGTTTTCCGTCTAAAACAAATTATATAATTTTTCGATTGATCAATGATTATAAAATTAGAACCCTTTTTGTCTTGTTTTGTTTATCTTTGTTTTTCAAATTTATGGTTTTTATTAATTTTGAGATTAACCATATTTGATTAGATTTTGAGCTGGTTTTTGTGTTGACTAACCTGAACATGGTTTGGTTGATGATCGATAGACCTGAAGATGCTCTACAATCTAACAACAAACCATCATGTTTTTTCATTGTAATTCAACATGTTATTGGAAGTTTTTTCATTCTCCATTTTTTGCTGGAAAGTCTTCCTTTCCCAGTGATTTTTTGTAGGAAAAAATTTCCTTCTTCGATGATGGAGAGTCCTTCACCAATGGGACGATAAAAATATTTTCCAGTGAGAAACAAAGAAGATATGCAACAATAGAGATGTGCTTTTGAATCGATTAGGGTTTAAGAAAAAATGGGCAAGAGAAAGTTGAAAGGGATATTTTTTTTAATTTAAAGATCTATTCCCATAATCTGTTTGGTTCAAAAACGAATGTGAATGAAAATTGGAATCCTGGATGAGATTTGATTCTCATCCAATTTAACAGAAATTAATTTCCAATTTCCATGCAGTTTCTACTTCGACCCCATCTCCTCTCAAAAAAAAAAAAAAAAGTTCAGCCCTATAAAAGAATCGGTTCGTTGTCTGTTTTATCAACCAACCTTTGTTTAATTCTTCGATCTTTGTTCGTTGTCTTCTTCGGTTCTTTCCAAAGGCAAAGAAACCAACGACTCCAATTGGGCAAAGCTTGATATATAGAGCCCAACAAAACTGCATTCGCATGCTGTTTGTTTGATAATCACGTCTCTTCGATCTTTGCTTGCATCGAAGGTGGAAGAAGCTTTATTTAGTGGCTACAGCTGATCGATACTCGAAGAAGTTGCCAAGATTGGAAAAGAGAAAGACTTACAGTGGAATGGGGTCTAGGGTTTTTTCGGCTCCAGAACTTCCAAATCTTATCGTTGGCTTGCAGGTACCTCTGCAAGAGTTGAAGATGGAGCTATTTAGACAAGGTGTAAAGGTGGTTGGAATATGTGCTCCTGGTGGATGTGGCAAGACAACCTTGGCCGCGATGCTTTGCCAAGACGACCAAGTCGGACGTATGATTTGCTCTCTCTCTCTCTCTCTCTCTTTCATTTAATTTAAGGCTTTTTTAGAATTTTTTTTTGACTTTAAGATCGTAAATAGTTGTATATTTCCATTCTACTTTAAATTCAGTCAGTTGCAATTTGCAGATGTCTTACGTAGATATATAATCTTGTTTGTGCTCAGGCTTCTTCAAAGATCACATCTACTTTTTAAGTATTTCAAGCTCACCCAGCTCGAAGGTGATCATGCAGAGGTTATTTGAAATGGTTAACGGGTTTCCGTCCCCCGAGTTCCAAGATGAAGATGATGCATGTAAGCAGGTGGAAGACCTGTTGATGCAGAAGAAACAAGAAAACATGTTGTTGGTCCTAGATGATGTTTGGTCCGAACCAGTCCTTCAGAAGCTTCTCTTCAGAAGATTAGATGAATATAAGATGTTGGTCACGTCAAGGACTGCACTCCAATCGTTTGATTCTGTGTATCATCTGAAAACTTTGAGAAACAGAGATGCCGTGACTCTCTTTTACCATCACTCCGCGTTCCTGCAGGGCGAATATGGCAACAATGACCAGCCACCTGCCGAACTTCTCGAAAAGGTGCTTTGTTCATCTGCCATCTACGCGGATGCATCACATATGAATACTGTAATGTTTGTCTGACTTGGACCAGATCAGATGGTTGAACCATCAGAATAGAGACCAGGAAACAAAGCCCTTTTTGGTTGTCCAGTCCTTGGAACTGTTTAATTACTTGGTCAAATTTACATGTAGAGAAATTTAGAGTGCAGGCTACTTCAGGGACTTTTATTAGGTTTTTAGATTTTATTTATTAATACCTTCACCTTTGTTAACTACCTTTGTATTTTGATTCATTCCCCCACCTGTTACATTTTTATTAGGTTTTTGGATTTTATTTATCAACACCTTCACCTATGATTC